GCAAGCAGGCGGTCCCCGCGGCGCAATCCCTGCCCCTTAGTTGCCGCCTCTGGCGCTGCAGGGGTGGCATCAGCTCCCGCACGACCCGCCGACGGCTTCCAGGACTGGGTCACTGTCTTCTGCATGAACAGGCGTAGCTCCTTGAGCGTATCCGCCAGTTCACCGACCTCCTTCGCAGTCACCGGCTCCTTGCTCTTAGCCGATCCCGAGCCCCTTGCTTCTATCCCATCCTCCACCAACTCCTGCATGTCCATCTCGCCCTGAAGTGCCTTACGGATCTCCTTCATGTCGGGCAAAACGATCACACCCCCATCCTTAGACCTATTCACCAAGTTCCGATCGTAAAGCTGTCGGAGCGCCCGCTCCCGCATCTCCTTCGGAAAAGCCTTGATGAAGGTCCGCTTCACCGCTCCCGGAGTACCGGTGACGATCCCGTTCCGATTCAGATACTTCAGAATCCGATCGAACGAAGAGACGTACTTCCCGTACTGCTCCCTCGTCTGAACGCCACCTTCCTCCGCCACCTCCGCCGCGAGCCTATCCAGATCCGCCTCCCGATACCTTTGCTCGCTTTGGCCCCACTTCTCCAGCATCTCCTTCTTCAACTCCGCCCAATCCTTCCTCTCGTACCCATCCATATCCTCCACATCCCGCAACGCCTCTTCATCCTGGATAAAGTTGACCACCTGTCGAACCTTATCCGAGTCCTCCGCTCCCTCCCCATCCGCCGCAGCCTCGAAACGCTCCAGAAACCTCGACACTTCGGTAGTACTGAACCGAATGTTTGGATAGTCCTTCGGACGTACCTTCGCCTTCAGCGGACCCAAGGACCGCGGCGGCGCTGGGTCATCCACGTTCATCCTTTCCTCGGAACCTTCGCTCGGTACTCCGTAAGTTCCGACCTTCTTGCTCGATCCCGAAGCCTGTCCTTCGAAAAGCTTAACCTTTTCCGCCACTTCTGATCCAATGACCCCGTTCTTCTGGACTTGCTCGACCAAATTACGTCCCTCGGCAATCAGGTCGTCCAATGTCTCGGCCCGTTGTTTCCCCTTATCCTCCGCACTCGGTTGATTTTCCCGAACCGTACTCCCGCTTCCGTCGCTATCAGAAGGATCAGAAGAATCGTTCCACGCTCGCTCGTTTTCGATGTTGTGGTACGCCGGTGTGAAAAACTGTCCCGGAAAGCTCATCCACTATTCTTCGTACCGTTCGACCAAGGAGTTGTTTCCCGGCCAGACCCCCAATTTGTGGAAAGCACGGCGCGCCCT